GATAGTTTCCCCTGCCTTGCGTCATAACCGCAGATTTTGAGGCTAGTCATGGACATAATCGAGTTTGTCGAAAAGATTACCACGTCGTTTTTACTCAGATTTATATTGCAACATTGGCCAGATTCTTCCACAGGTACCTTGGCTTTGTAGGTTTTTACAGCAGCCAACCACCTACTGGCAGCCCACGCCTACGATGTGATGCCGTTTACCGCTGCAACGACCTCCAGCACCGCCAATCAAGCTCAGCGGTCCACGCCTACCTCAAACCCTTGTCTGTCACGTCAGCCCATGCGAATCCGCACTTATACGGTCCGTGTATAGTTCACTTTTGTTGGTTCTTGTATGTTCTTCTCGGTTTGCAGTTCCTTCTCTCCAATTCCTGCTTCGGGGCTTCGTTAATGTGTAAATTGAGAGCAGTATTTGTTATAGCTCACCATCTGAGAGGTTGGAAGGGGCCCGATGGGTGTACTCTTACCTCTGTCTTCGAAGCTGGTTATTCTAGGCCAGACGTAACCAGCAGCACTAGCACGACATGAATTCAGTTTGATTGTCCCCTTTTGTGTGGGACACGCAGTTATTTGTGTTCAGTTTTTCAGGTCTTGCCCCTCAGAAGCTACCCTTCTCAACTTTGTCCACATAGATCACCTTCTTGACTTCTTCTCTCCATCCACTACTTAGGTAATTCCTCTGGCACGCCGAAGCGGTCTTATCGAGTGGTGCGAGGGCACCGTGCCACTTGGGGATTGGTTGGCTAACGAAACCAGTGGTGCTCACCAGCGCTACCATCCCACTGACCTCACGCCTACGCAAGCCAAATTGCGCCTCGCAGGAGTACGTGACAGGGGGCAGGAACGAAAATTTGCCGTCTTTCAGGAGATTTGTGAAAGACTGAGGTCAGCGAAATTGATGACCGGACCCTTCTCTGTCTGTTCTTTTTTGAGGCTCCGAATTATCATTTTCAGTGTCATTGTAGTTCTTAGATGTTAGCCACACGTTGCTCGTGCACGATCTTGACGCGCCAACCAAACATGGAGACCGACCTTTGGAAACGTTTAGTTTCGGCGGCGCATTGCCCTAGGCTGCCAAGTTAGTAAATTATGACCTTTTTGTCATTGAAACGCTATATGAGTGCTCTGTGTCTCTTGAAGGGCATTAATATTTTGGGGAAAGGAGACTAGTTTCCGACGAAAGCCTGTTAACTGTACCATGTCGAGCTAAACTGCAGTCCACAGCAGCCACATCATCCCTCAACTTCTGCTGCAGTATGAACTAAAAGTACCTGCCAACTCAGCTGTTATCCCACGCTGCTTCTGCAGTACCTAATATTTTTCATACGACCTCTTCCAGAGAGGAGACGCTTTTAGCTGGGGCAGACTTTCTTGTATGCCTAGCATAAATTCTGTCTGAGACTGTTTCTGGGCGACTGACTGCAACACTATTGTTTTTGAGCTCGCTTTCCTTGCCCTCTTGTCGTACGAGCAAATATTAACAGATGTATAGAAAATCTGTAGCTATTAAGCATTTCCCAACGCCCTCAACCCCTCCCCCCTCGGTTAATCCTCTTCGGACAGACCGGTCCTGGGCTACTTTTTCCTTGAGAATTTCCCCAGCCCGACTGAGTGGCACGCTGCAAAAGCGAGGTACACCACTTCACTGGCTGTCTCCTCCATCCTCGGTTTTCTGGTCGGTCTGGGTGACCGGCACCCGCACAATCTGCTGCTGCATCCAGCCACCGGCGAGGTCGTGCACATTGATCTGGGCATTGCTTTCGATCAGGTTAGTACTCATTTTTCTGCCCTTCTATCTCAACCCGCCCCCTCCCTGCCCTGGCACTTTTACTAACCTCGTCATTCCCTCCCCTACCGCTTTCAGTCTGATCTACTCTGTTCCTTAGAAAGCGCCAAAACATACGTGCTAGGCTTAATCTTAGTAACAAGAACCTCGGTCGACGTAAGCAGCGAGAATGCCCTCAGTCAGGTGTAGGAAGCAAATTTTGGTCCCTACGCTCGCTATCATCCCGGTGATCTCCGGCCAAGTGGTCTGTGTGATGGCTCCCCGCAGCCTTCACACTATAACCTCTTTGGCCTTAGTTGACCGGTCAATAGGTCGCTCCCTGCTTATCTCGTATGGGGGACCTCGCCTGGCTTCTATCTATTCTATTTGACTACCTTTTTTGCCGGTCGAAGTTGTCCACTCCTGAGCATCTTCCTTGAGTTACAGCTGATCCGGGATGTGCCTGGCCGACTTTCTCCCATTTTTATCAATAATTTCTATTTGGACCCAACTGGAAAACTCGGCGGCATCGGTGGGATTCAGACGTACCGAGGTCGCCAAGTTTTTCTCAGCTGGGCCAAGGTATATTATTAAGTCTTCCAAAACGCCTATGCATAATTTCTATATTGATTCTTATGTCGGGAGGCCGAAGTGATTCTAAGGAGTCTCTCTCACTCGCGAATGAGCTGGGTCTCGGCCGCTTATTTGCCTTCGAATCCAGTAAACGACCTTCGTCGCTTTTTTGGTTTCACTACCTAATTTTGGTTTGACATTCGTATTCCTTCACAAAAATTCTCGCTTTTCTACCGTACTCCGATGTCTTGTTTATGCGCAAAGCCTAGCACTTTTTCTTCCCTCCTTTTTTATGGCCTGTATTCAAGCCCTCGAACAGGGCTATCAGTGGCCAGCAGTATTGGTGGTACTAGTGCAACATGACTGACCATTTGTGAAGAAGTCGAAGTAATGCACTGTGGTCTGACCGCACCATTCCCGATCTCGGCCAACACAGCTGGGCTGTCGGGCTAGGCCTGGGTCAACCTGGAAACAGCCAAGTCAGATTCAGATCATCTGGCTTAGATATGTTTGGTTTACGTAAAAGATAAAAAATCGTCATTCTCACCCGTCTACATGTCGGCAAGCCCTTCGAAAGAGTTTATTATATATCTAATCGCTAAAGCCTTCTCTACCGGCTTTTACAAGGGTCGTCTTCTGCCAACTCCAGAAGTGGTGCCTTTTCGTTTGACCCGAGATCTTATCCATGCTCTCGGTCCTCTTGGCCCCGAAGCCGGATTCACCACTGCTGCTGAGTCGGCTCTGTTGGTCTTCGCCTCCGGCGCAGATGTCATCATCACTCTCCTCGAGGTACGCAGCTGCCATCTGCTGGCTCACTTCGTTTTTTGATGTCATCCCTAAGTAAACCTTTTTTCACCTTTTTGTGGTGGGGTCCCAACCTGTCTGGATTTCGTGGTCAGCAGTGGTATCGAGGGCGCCCTGTCTCACCTGCAACTTGCCACTGTGCCCTCTGGCACAGTCTTGGACACCATCACCTACGGTGGATAAACTATTGGCGGCCGCGTTGATTAGTCACGCCTGATTATAGGACGGAGTAGGGTACGAAGAAATTTTTTAAAGTCGGCCTACCGCTTATTATAGGCAAAGATAAACGCCTCAGGGTTTGTGGGCGTCCGCACTGTAGAATATTCTAAAATAATTCGATAACCTCCGCGAAACACATTCGTGGCATACTGACACTGAGCTTTTCTGTTAATTACAGTTCTCGCTCAATTTTTGTCCTGTCAGGACTGTCGTTGCGGGCTTTAGACTCACAAGGGAAGTATCCACAGACGATGCGGAGCGTCGGCTGTTATCTAAGATCAACTATTTTGTCTACGACCACCTGCACCTGTTTTTGAAAGTTATGCCCAAACTACAGAATACATCGACCTCTTGGTAGTCTTTCTTTCTAAACTTCTAAGTGCCTTCATGATTCCTTTGCAGGCCTCTCGGATGGATTCGGAACATGGTAAATTCATTTAATGAGGAAGCGGACTACATGCACACTTGATTTTACCTAGCTTGGAAGCTCTAGTTACGCAATATTGAATATAACGCCAACGTCATCGGTTCCTTGATAAAGATGCTAAGTGCCCTACTTGCATCTCTGGCTCTATTCAGCCCTCGCCGTTCAGTCGGAGAATTCTCGTGGGGACAGTTCCCCTCACAATAGTTATTGGTGTCTTACAAATATCCAAAGATTTGACGTGAACGCATGGCAAGATGATTCGTACAATCGACTGCCAGTTTGGTTGTTGCAATAGTGTAATGCGGCTCTTTACTGTCATAATTTTGACCCGACATGCCTACGGAACTTTTATTGTTTGAACTCCATGCATGGCCGTAATCCAGGTTATTTGTAAGTCAATGGGGTTACACTTAAATTATTCCCCCTAGTACTGTGGAACTATTACTTCCATGTGTTCGAGAAAGTGAGGCGAATCTGTGCCATTTCAAAGTCAGTTGACTAATCGTCTAGGTTTATGGACAGCTGCAGTCACTCTTTTCGTTGATTTCAGAACCCTCAAGGTGACTGATTCCATATGATGCTGTGAATAGAACCCTGCGATCACCCACCAAATTTTGCTTACTCTTCACCGTCTTAGTAATACGATCATACCGATTATTTTCACTGCCTCCGTTTTGTCTTCAATAGAACACTTGAATTTTGCGCACCTGGCTGCTTTAACACATCCTGTGGGTTTCGTCCCGACGGTCTCAAATATTTTCACTGAAATGTTCACAACTTTACGCTTTTTGTAGGTACTTTTGCACGACCCTCTTTACTCGTGGTCTCTCAGCCCGGCTCAGCTCTGCGCTCTTGAAGCGAGACGCGCCGAGGCAGTCGCTGTTGGTCCCTCGGTGGGTCCCCCAGGAACCGCCCGCACGAACGACCCCTCGGAACGACAGTCCACGGCCGTCTTCCGAGACCAGCCACCTGTGCAACGGCTAATCGCCAGCACCTGTCAGACTGCGCAGCGAAGGTCGAAGGGTACGCATGTGTTTTCATTGTAACTGTTAACGAATCTGATGAAAGTAAACCTACATATTTACGCTGTCATCGACTGCACGAAGGTTGGGCGCAGTCTTATTTTCAGTGCCTGACCCCCAGTCTCTGAACTGCAGGTCAACCAGACGCAGCAGAGTGAGAAGCTTGCGCGCCCCACCCGTGTTGGCTTTTTGATGTTTTGACTGGAAGAGGTGCACGCCCTTGCGTCTGACGGGGCGGGTAGTCGTCGGCATACGCGAAATCACTAAAGCTGTAGGAGCCCACGGCCACGGCTCAGACCGGACGAATTTGTCAACCTTTGGCGTGACCCATTGGACGCCTTCTAGTCTTCGGCAAGCGTTGTAACCATCCATCCACTTTGAAACTGGTTCATCCCCCTCACATGCCTAATATCCACGCCTATCCCCCTTCTCGTTTGTTAAACCCGAAGTACGCTCTGAGCCGGCGGCGGCAAAACGACGTAACCGGCCGACAAACTGCCCAGCCCAACTTGCTAGAGCGACCAACACGTGCGCGACGCGGGTTAGATGGCCAGTCGTGGTGCCTGGCTTGATACAACACTTGCCAGCGATCTGCAATGGAGAAGTGAGCTTGAGACGGATCCTCCCTGTGCAAACCTTTCCCTCCAAAATCAACGGTGTCTCGAGAGTTGTCAATGACAGGATAAACCGGTGGGGACCAGGTCGTAGCGGCCCCTTAGCGTGACCTTACGACTTCTCCGACGCGGCATCAAGGCAAAGCTTGGTTAACGTGGGTTGAGGTAGCTAGTATTTGCGTGGCACGCGAGCGGCGAGAGGGAACTATCGGTTAACCCACGCTCGTCTCCAGAAACCTTGGCCTAGCCCTTCGATCAGAACACGATGCGTCTTGATCGACCCTGCGCATGTCTCCAGTTCATGTGCAAATTACTGCTGCCCACAAGGGGTAGCGATAGTCCTCTTCGAGTTTTACAGAGTAAGAACTGTAGTTCTGGTGTTTTGGGGCTGGCTTTCCCGGTCGCGGTATGATCCCCCGCCTCTGGCTTTATTGCTTGCCCGACTATGTATCGTGGCTGTTCACCGACAAATAATCGGAAAGTACCTGAGGTAGGCTGTTCATACGGACTCGTCTCCACTGTTTAACTTCAGTTTTAGGTCCTTTCCGTCAGAAGACCTTCGGAATATTTATTTTGTTGTCATCGCTGATGGCTGATGAACAAGTCGGCTGTCTACGGCACAGACACATTTGGGGAGCAACGCAAAATTTGGTTATGGTCAGTAAACCAGCAGCCTAAGTATCATTCCATGTGACCCAAACTACTTTTTAGAGTAATTCAAAGCCCATAACGCTATAGGACGCGATTCTTCGTCAGCGGGTTGATATAAAAAGCTCCGAAAGTCATATGGTTGTCATTGTCAATGCTGGCATACGACTTTATAGAAAGATAATCTGACCTCAGATGGCGAAACGCGCGTCCATGCAGCTTTGTACTGGTTCTGGAACCGTTTTATGGAAGCAAATTTTATTAAGGCAACAAAATAAATTTACGAAAAACCAGTTTCCTGGCCTATAAATCCCAAGAAGTCATTTAACTGATCGTCTTTTAGCAAGCAGATTTAAAGTGCCCTCAATCATGTGTTCTTTAAAGTATCGTTACTAGCCCACCTACTGCAACCCCACGCTCTTGGGAGATTATGCGTTCGTCGGCCGAAAGTCTAACCTCTGCTTCCGTCGACACTCCTTGTCTGACTGCACTGTGGTTCCCATCAAATTTTAGAGTCTGCTAACCAGCTGGCCGAGCGCGCTCTCTTGAATGTGCGAGACAAGCTGGAAGGCCGGGTGGGTGGTATTGGCAGTGGCGGCCTTTCTACAGCCGCTGGCAGCGAGGGTGTGAGCACTCTGAGAACAGCAGGCCAGATAAACCTTCTCCTTCGAGCAGCAACGAACCCGGAAAATCTCTCACGCATGTACTTCGGATGGCAGGCATACCTCTGACTTATACTCCAATCACCGAACTTGCCCAACATCGGTTTTTTATTTTGCACAATACTCTTTGAAATGCATCTACCCACTAGAAAATGAGAGCGCCTTCTTATATCGCCTTACTTGGCATGATCGACGCAAGAAGCGCCCGTTGTGACGAAAATGACTAAGACATTTTGCAGCTACAACCTTCTGCCCTTCTAGTCAACTCCAATGAATCGAGAATATGGTTTGTAGGCAAATTGGTGACATCTTGCGAGGAGTTTTGGTTTTGGAGCATATTATTTTCCCAAAATATATGTACAGACAGGGAGTCTCCCCGGGAACGTTTGGTCAGCAGTGAGAGGCGGTCTGTGCTGAGAAAGTCAAATCACCTCCCCCATCGTTGCGAGATCCTGAAGAAGCGAGTGAGCAAACTTCCGAAATCCGATTCTGTCAGGCTTGAATGACTTGGCCAAGTTCTGAAAAAAAAAACAGTAAAAGGATTCTTTTTGAACTGTTAGAATTGGCACAGAAACAGCGAACCAAGGAAGCCCATTTGGGGTTCGAGTTATAATAGGTAAACACTGAAAATTAGAACTTGAGAACAGCCCTTGTAGGACCGGCTTTCGTATTTTATTATGACAATTTAACAGTGCCAGCGTGTAAGTTTAATCCTGTTACACCATCTCCATTGTAGGGAAGAAAGCTGTTCGACAGCCGGGACCGTCTTTTTATTTGCCTGAGCCTTCGAACTGGTACAGAAGTCCGTCGGCAGAAATAAAAGCGCAACATAACAAGCAACGGCTATAGGGGGTATGAACCGATCAAACATCAGTGACACCGGCCTGGAGGTGACTACGCAGCGTTCTATAGGCCGGTGGCAGGTCGATACATCGATAGACTAAGTCCTCCTCTTAGGCCAAGACCTCAAACAGTTCGTGGCTTTTCTCGTTTCTGGTGTGAGCAGCTATCTTTGTGGCTGCGAAATGAGATGCGTGACCCATTACGTAGGTGGGAGCAGCCGTTTGTGATAATCTGCCACGCCGTCGCACAAAGCGTATTTTCGCGTATGTGAGATTGGAGTATGCGTTCAGTCCGGCCTGCGTAATTAAATGGACAGTTTGGGCACAGGATGCGATACACTACATCCGACGGCTCACTGGAATTTAATCGGTCCTTGATCTTCGTGTCCCGTCTGCGCATGGTAGTTTTGAGCGTGTTCAACTCCGACGCCTAGTCCCACAGCAATGGGCTCGATCGTCTGTGACGCGTCTTTGATGTACGGCAGAGCACGCCAACCGTAGACGCTGCCTCTTGGTGCGTCTTCCGGGGGGTAAACAGGTAAGCATCGGCTTATGAACGCCTTCGGATAGCCGTTCCGCACAAGTTGATCGCAGAGATATCGGATCTCACGCGCTTCATTATCTCCACGCCAGAAAAACTCAAATGTTAAGTCCCATCGCGGACTTTAGTATCCGTTGTCCATGTGAGTGACGGACGGTGTCACATTGGCCTTGCAATGCATCAAGCCAGTTGGAACGGCAATGTGGACAAGGGGTTTGCCACTAAGTATCACGCAGGTAGCCGAATACGCAGTCGGTAGAAAACACTGGAAAAATAAACAATTACCGGCCGGTGACGCACGTGTAAGGTATGGAAAACCATGCTAGCGTTGTACGAGTTCGACGAAACTGGTCATTTGGACAGATGCCATGACCACCCCTGTTAGGTAGAAAATCTACCAGCACTGCAACCTAACTCGAAGACATTTCAACTTATTATGAGTTCCTAATTGGCCTACAGGTATTTGGCATCAGGACAGGAAATGGCAGGATGAAGGGCAGTCCGATCCTGATTATCCGACTTAGTCTGGAAAAGATAGCTGTTCTTGGTAAAGCGAGGTCATTTATTACTGATAGGGTGAACAAAATGTATGTTGTGATGTTTTCGCTATTTTGAACTATCCATCAACAGTCATTAGGGGAGTCCAGCTCTTTAATCTTTAGAAAATCAGGGCCTAGTTAATGACTACCACATGAACGGGCCTCTGCGTCTGGCGTGTGTGCAGTCACAGACCATCGTCAGATGTGCAAAAAGCATCCACTTTGACCGCATCTCAGATCCGAAATGGCTAATACAGGCCTACTCCCAACCCCTAGATGAAACTGGCCTTCCAGAAACAATTGCGACAATGCTCAACCCGCTCAAACTGAGGCCGATGAAGCCCACAACACAGTGCTTAGCTAATCAAGAAAATTACTCGTACTTCTAAGGGCATTTATTATAATTGACACAGCCGCTCCCAGGTTGCAGGTTCACGACGTGAATGATCGTCTTCAATTACGGTTGGTCGGTGGCAGACTCCGTAACAAAGTTGAATTGGTTGGTAGGTGGCACCGCGGGACCAGAAATGGGCTAGGGATCAGCCTTCACGGTCACCCATGTTTCCAAACAGGGCCGGGATAAGAGGATGTCATCTCTGAGGACCTCGCCCTTGGGTCGATGCAACGCACCATCGAACCATTTTAGCCAACTAGTAAGGGTGAAGTTGACTGGTTGTTTCTAACCGATTATGCAAACATTCGCCGAGGAGGCGATCGGAGGAACGAATTCCGAGGACAGAAGGCAATAATCACCGATGGACCCACCGGCTATGTCTCACATTCGTATAGAAGTATCGTCTTTACGAATGCCGTACACTCGCATTTCGGCCACCTGACTGGTCTCACGCTGGTTCCACATGTTTCAAAAGAGTTGGGCTAAAAATTCGCACGTGTGATTGATTCGATAGCCGACTTTACCCCTGCCTTGCCTATTTGACAGTTTCGACCCAAGATAACAGAATCTTTGCACTAACCTGCGGATTTAACCGTCCACCGTCACCGAGCAAGTATTTTGACTGCGAAACCCAGAATGTGATAGCCTTGGTATTGGAGGAGGTTACCTAGCCACGTTTGGCTGTATTCGAGCCTATGTGGGATCGAATAAGTTGCTTCTTCAACGAATCTTGCAGGCACTACAATGTCATCAGGGTAGAGCGTATTCGTGATGAACGGATTACGACTTACTCTAACGCTGAGGTTGTCTGCTGGGGTGCGTCGAATGATCCTGCTTATCGCCTAACTGAATAGTTTCTGTGAGATCTTATCCCAGAAGGACGCCGAAAGCAGTACCTAGGAAGTGACTCTTCTCGTCGTGCAAAAAAGCGCTGTGTTCACCAGATTTACATGTGGTCGCAAGTGTTGGTCTGCGTTATTTCGGGCGGCAACGATTGGGTGAAGGACCTCAAACACACGACCTGCCAAAGGTGCCTGTCTTACGGGAAAAAGTGGTAATAGGGGTTTCAGGGGCGGGGCCTATGCATACATAGAGGAATGGCAAAATAAGTATAGATAATTGGTAAATTCGTTCTCCGGGCGGAAATGTTTTAGTGCATTGACATACAGCAACCGAAATTAAGCAGGACAATTAGAAAAATAAACATTAAGTGTCTACAACGATTGCTTCTCAACTCTCTGAGCTGAGGTCATTGTAGAAAATCCACCAGACTGTCTACAACGATCGCTTCTCGACTCTCTGAGCTGAGGTCATTGTAGATAACGTACGAGACCGTCTACAACAGACGACCCAACCTTGTACGATGAAACACCAAACCGAAATAATCGTTTTGGACTAAAACCCACTTAAATAAGTGTAGTAGGTATTCTTTGTATGCCGCAGACGCTTGGGGGTCTTCACCCGATCCTCACCTTTCGGGCCAATGAAGGCATGGATATAACCGGAGGTGCTGCTGTTTCATTGTCCATTGCGTTGACAGTCAAAACTCCAGTACTTTGGCATTAGCCTATTTATAACCGAATAGGTTGTTATATGCTGAATAATTTACCATAGTGACAGCATGGACACAACCCGGAAGCCAAGACACGTGTTTCGCCAATATTCTGCCACTGCATGACCTAGGTGAGAGTGATTTGGCTGATCAGTGAGTCCTCCAGAGCTCCTCGTGCGCACTCTGGTAGATACTTCAGTTTGGGATTTGGAGATTTTAGTCTCCTCAGAAATTAATGCCCTAGCTTGGAGTTAATTCTTCCGAATGGAGCTTAATCGCCTCAACCTGAAAGTCAATATGAATATTCGGGCCGAAATTTATCAGCTTAGGTCAAATAACTGCGTAATATTCATAAACTGTTTACGGAAGGTCAGGTGTACACAAATGTTGCACGATTTACCATACTACACCACAGATACTAGCAAAAAATCGGCATAACAGGTTCGCCGGCTTTGGCTAATACCGTCAGTATGGTAAATAATGCAAAATTTGCATACTACTGGTGCCTGTTGACAGTTTACGCGCTTGTCTCCCTTGACCTGATAGATTTCGGCTCAAATATTCAAACCGACTTTCCGACTGAGCCTATGAAGCTTCATTCTGAAGGAGATACTCAAAGTTAGCGCAGTAATTTCTGAGATTAAAAAGATCACTATAGTTCGCGACATCTACCACCAGAAGACACGACCAGCTTTCTCTGCGATATCAGTAAGACCGGTCTGCACTCATGCTTACTATATATATTGATCCCTGACTTAAACACTGCCATATAGTACGCTCGTAAATTATGACGAATTTCACTTTTTATTGTTGCCTTAGTAAAGGCGAGTTTCAGTAAATGTGCACTTGCTGAGATCTCAGATCAGAAGGCTCGTTTGGGAAAAGATACAAGCTACCCGCTCAAATCCATTATTAGGAGGAATTAAAAATAATAATTAGAAGTTGGGTTAAGATACATGCCCGACCGGGAACGCATGGAATCCACAAATTTTAATGCAGTAGGTCAACTGCTGTAGTGAATTGTCCTAACTAATCCATCTATAATCTACTGGATGACTACAAGACTCATTCTTTGGCATAGGCTTTGGTCAAATTTGAATAACTTAAATGATTCGACTGCGAAAACCCAAAACTCAGTCAAGACTTTGAAGTTCAGATGGGTGGCGCGGTGGTTGTACTAAACGGTTGTGCTTTATTCCGCGGATCCGGATACCACTGAGACCGCCGACTCTCATAAATGAATCGGTCACCTTATTCAAACTCGCAAAAATCTGACTTTTGTCTCAAAAGTGCTCATGGCTTTATGTTAAATATGACCTATAAGGTCAGCTAGATGATATGGCAACTGGGAAACGGGATTACGATGAGTAAGTGGGCGAAACGGAAATGGCCAGTAACCGTTTATCAGTCAAAACTAGTAGGCCACAATCCTGTCCGCGGCTGCAGACGCTGAAGAGCTAACCTGGGGATCATTTGCCTGGATGAGAATGGAAGCTTAGCGCTAAGTAGAGGTGTACGCGCCGACGTCTTTATGGCTGTCAACCGAATCAAGTGCACTATGAAAAACATTTATAGTCTAAACTGGTGAACAGATCAGATCCTGCCTTCGTCACCTTGAACTATAGAAATAAATATAAACAATCTGTTTTAATGTCGTGTTAGTGAATCAATTCGTATTCGGCAAAAATGTATAGGTTGGATATTAGAGAAATAGCAAACGGTCTGGTGAACTACGAGGCAAGCCTAGTCTTTAAAATACCAAGGCTGGAAATGTGTTGTAATTACGGCGACTGGAACGATCAGCAGTTTAAAAAAGAATAAGAAAAGCCGTTATCCTAAAGCAAACTTACAGTATTTCAGTTGATGTTGATTGCCATGGTAAGAGACCACCGAAAACATGGGGAATCCCAAAAATTATGGTTAATGGGACAGCATCAACGCTTGAGACGTCTTAAGAAGGAGTAAGTAGAAGGTAAGACTACCATAAACTGCTCTATGAAGGGACTTCATAGAAATCGGCTCCTTAGATGCAGCGAGGCGTTTTGCAGCCTCAGAAATCATTAGTTTTCCAGAGGACCAGTCATGGAAAAATAATCGGACTTGTTTGTCATCTTGACAGACTACAGATTCGTGAGAGGAGCAACTTACTTATAAAAGAGGGCACGAATGAATTAACCGCATTTTGTATACACTTGAAGCCACCAACTTCACGGAAATGTCGTTTCATACGCTCTTTCAGGTATTGCTTTGGGACTAAAACAATCAAGTGCGATAAAAAAAAAACTAACCGGCATGCGAGGTGACGGAAACGTTTTTCACCATTGAGTGAGCGCAAAAGCTAATTATGTTCCCAACGGCGTGAGGAGACACCGTTTCCTCCAATATAATAAGGTTAATATGATTCAATGTTCTGCATTTAGTTATAGGGGTTGAGAAATCATCTGCATAAACTGGTCGTAAGACATTCGCAAGTACAGAAGCCAGTACACTTTTCGAAGTGGCAAAAATCACATTAATATGGGCAAACGCCAGAATGAGTAACAAAATAAACCTATGAGTGAAGTAGAGCGCAAGGCCCCACAGCCACATCCTTGGCCAAAAGGCTCAGCTCAAACAGCGCGCCCGCTACGGTGGAGTCGTTTAAACGAATTTTCAGCGAAATGCAGAACTCGTTCTGGAACAAAATCTAAGGAATACTTTATCATCCCGTAAGGATCTGCACAGGCTCTAATTCCAAACTGGGCAACTGGGTGCCCATCAGAAGCCTAGAAGCGAATAGGTGAGGGAAAAATGATTAGTTGACAGTGTGGCAATCCCTCGGGAAAAAGAGCATCACATGAAGAGCCTGCAATAGGAAATAAGGGCAATTCTGGACCCTCTACAACATCTGAATTAGTGTGAAAGGTGAACGAGAGGGTGTGAATCCTTACTTATGGGTTCTCTAAACAAAATAAACCTGCACAAACAAGCAATTCCCGCCTCTGATAATTGTTGAGTTTGAACCATACCTGAAAATCATATTCGAATCTCTAGTGTCTATTGGTTCGGTAAGTCGGGGCAAATCTGTAGCATAGATAGCCTTCCATTCTCCTTTTGTAGTGTGGAAACTCAGGCAACCCTTCGTTAAAGTTCGAAAAAAACCATGTTCCAGACCCCCAGTTTGAATCCTACCGTCGATACGGGAAAACTAGACCTTGGCGCACTTCTTAACTTAAACAGATTTATATTCCAATATGTTTCAATTTTCTCTATTCCTGGAGCACTTTTCGAAGGAAAAATGTTAGCATTTTATGCAGTACGAGAAACTCCTAACCTTCGTCACCTGTGTTGTTACTGAGGCTGACGGCCGCAGAAACAAACTCTTCACGTTATCTTAAAAAATGTCATAAGAACAGACAGCCTCTTTATGTTGCCTTCAATTCCTTTGCGCTTTTGCTTTAAATTCAGGGCCGCAGATGTTAAAAGACACTCGTTCAGGGACAAAAATTCACCCGCTATTGCGAAACTTATTTCCCCATCTAATTCTGAGAACATGAGAGATCCCACTATCGAAAATATTGTGTTTCGAGAAGAAGCGATTTTGGAAGAACTGAAAAGCTTGAAGGAATGTAAATCTCCCTGTCCGGACGAGATCCCAGCAAAGCTGCTCTTTAAACTTGCCCAACTGCTGGCCAAGCCACTATCCTTTCTGTGCCAGAAATCGTTTGATGCTGGAATTCTTCCCACAGACTGGAAGACGGCCCACATTACACCCCTTTACAAAAGCGGTAGTCGTTCTCTGGCGACAAACTACAGACCCGTCAGTCTGACATCAATCTGCTGCAAAGTGATGGAGAAAATCATCAAAAAGGAGTTGATGGCTTACTTGGAAACCCACAACCTCTTGTCCAATGCACAATATGGTTTCCGTAGGGGAAGATCATGTGTTACGAACTTGCTATACACAATGCAAAGTTGGACACGAGCACTGGACGCAAAACACACCGTGCATGTTGCCTATATTGATTTTCGGAAGGCGTTTGACAGTGTTCCGCACCAGCGTCTCCTACACAAGTTGAGAATTATGGGCATCGGTGGCAAACTTCTCAAATGGATCGAAAATTTCCTTGTCGGCCGCTCCCAAATTGTCTGCGTAGAACAACAGCAATCAAGGTGCGCATTCATAGAGAGTGGGGTCCCACAAGGCTCGGTGCTCGGACCAACTCTCTTTCTCTTGTTCATCAATGATTTTGTAGATGGGTTGGACTGTGATTGTGCCATGTTTGCGGACGACATAAAAATCTGGAAAGTCATCCAGAATGCCGCCGATGAGACCAACTTCCAAGAAAATCTTTGTCGATTGGACGAGTGGTCCCGCAGATGGCTCTTGTCCTTCAATTTGAACAAATGCACCATTCTGCGCCTCGGAAATCAGACCCCTAATACGTGGCAATACCATCTGAACGGAATACCACTTCGAGATGCAGAAACGCAGAAAGATCTCGGAGTCTGGGTTGAAGACAGCTTAAAGCCTTCTACACAATGTTGTAAGGCAGCCAAGGCCGCAACCTCAATGCTATATGCCATCAAGCGGGCATTCGTAGTTTTCGATGAAGACTGCTTCACCAAAGTATTCGGCACGTTTATAAGGCCCCATCTCGAATATGCAATTCAGGCCTGGAGACCGTGGACGCATCAGGATTACGATCTGCTCGAAAGGGTGCAGAGACGAGCAACAAAATTAATAAGAGGTCAAAGTGCACTGGCATACGAGATCCGCTTAACTAACCTTAATCTCTATCCTCTGAGTTATGGGCAGTTGCGCGGAGACATGATACAAACTTTCCGTATCGTGCGCGGCTTGGATTGTGCCCTTCGGCGCGATGACTTTTTCCAACTCGCCACTAGAACTCACCTCCGGGGACATCCCTTCAAGCTACGTGTGCCACAGGGTAGACTGAATGTGAGAAAATATTTCTTCTCCAACCGTGTCGTGGAACCGTGGAATAACCTGCCCGAGACGGTTGTTATGTCTCAATCTGTGGAGGCATTTAAATGTCGCCTTGACATATATATGTTGCAGCAACAAGCGGACTATGTGACTTTTTAGCCATGTGACTAGTGAAATATGTGAATCAATGTATGCATTCACTTAATGCTGTAATTTCTTCACATTTTTGCTTGTTTATCGATTTTTTATGTAAAAATAGGGAGTTCAAAGGCGTAAGCCTATTTCCCTCAAATACACTGACTGACTGACTGACTGTATATAAAAGAAGGTTCTTTTTTCTCGTTAAGAGCGTCCGACTCAATATCTTAGAGGAAAAGTGATTTTACAAGCTGGAATCAAATGCGTGCATGGGTGTATGTGTGTATTTCGGTGGGAACTGCCGGAGCCCTAGATGACCCTGCCCATGTTCATTTAAAATTGTAAATTCATTTATATTCAATTAGCACAGAATGTACTCATTTGTAAAGCTGATATTTTACTTTAAACGTGCAGGGGAGCGCTACATAGGACATAAAATTCGGTATTAAAATTAATTGCTGCCGTAGATCGCGCTGCAATGGGAGACGTCGGTTATCAAAATTCAAACAACTCCGCTATTTCTTGAATACTACTATGATATCAGGTGTCATCATTTCACTTAGGATTCAGTCCCACGATCGAACTACCGGCTGACTAAAAAAAACTTCCACTTGTCTATGCGCATATATTCGCGTTTGACTTAGGACAAACGATCGCGCAGGTGACTTGTATGTGCAAAGTCGATAAAATCTTCAGGTCTGAGCAAAAGACCTTGTTGGCGGATAATGTGGAATGTTTGCTGCAGGTTGTGCCTCGTTTGCCTATGGGATAGGGTGAGTATTTTAGATCGATTAATTATTGTGTAAACGACTGTTTCCAAGGTCCGTTCGCCAGTTTTTACGCCCCCTGTAACATCCCTTTGATGGCGTCAATATCTTTCTACGTTCAGGGCAGCCGTGCTATCGTTTCATATTCTGAATGCAATAGAAGGAACATCCCGAAGGACTGCGCAGAGATTTAGGAAGGAAAAACTATAAAAGTGCGCCTAATTCAGTACGTGCTTCTCGGTGAATTTGGGAACTTGTCTGGATACCTAGGTCTTTGTACGTATCTACTCCTTTTTAGCGGAATACAATTCATAGTGTGCTGGTGTTTTGGCGGACGTCTTCGACCCGCTTCCAAGCGCATGACTACACATTTGGATGCATTAAAGCTTAGAGGCCGCTCGCTGGACAATGCAGTCAACTTATTGACGTTTTCTTGCAATTCCTCCGAGTCGTAAGCTGAGCAGATCATTTTCCAGATTTTTATATCACCCACAAACATGATGATAGCACAGTCAAGATTATTAGTACAATATCCTACATAGATGAGGAAGATGAGAGGACTTAAGACCGGACCCTACGAAATACCACTTTCTACTTTCACCCATTCAGGTGCTTATGTACCAAAAATTACTTTCTGCAGCTAACATGACAAAGAACTTTAGTCCGCTTAAAATGTTTTCCTGGATTCCATACCGTCAAAAATTATGTGGAAGTCGTTTGTGGGGCACGCTTCCTGACGCATTTCTTAAATCGAAGAAGAAGGAGATTAACAGTGTCCAAGGGGCGCTATAATAAACCTATTCTATTTTACCCACAGGATGGCCCTTGTCTATGACCATTATCCGCTTTTCCACTGCTAAAGATTATATATAAGACATGAGTGGCTACTAAGAAATCCAAGCTGAACAGCACGCATTATCTTCCTCTGCTCCATGTACGCTATTAAATGCCCCTTAATATATTGTTCCATGACCTTGAACAAAATGCAGGTCAAACTAATGGGGTGGTAGTTTTCGGACCCCAGTCTGGCTCTTCTTTGCAGATGGGGGAGTTGAAGGAAGTTTTCTATTGCCCTGAGAGTTCGTCTTATTTTATGGACTTTTGAACTAGCAAACATACCGGCTCGCACTGTACGTCGGCCAATTCTAGAAGGGCAAGTGGAAGAATTACATCTGAACCAGGTGGTTTTACAGGCTTTAATCTGAGAAGTTCTGTCGTTATTGATGTGGGCGGGAGTTAAAAATTATTTTCTAATGCAAACGATGCGGCATGTCGTTTTCATTCTGAGCGGTGGACGGGGACAGAACTCGTTTCATGACTTAGTGTCGACTGGGCGAATTTAGAAATGACCGATGCTTTCGTTTGTTACTCCGTCTCCATAACGCCGCTCGGTACCTCGGCGCCGCAGCCGGATCACGGTTTGTACTGTTACTGCGTGCGTAACTGTGCAGGGTCACGGGATGCTTTGAAGGATGCTGTAGTATGCAAAACGCATAGTTTCTTCGATATCTATTAAAATCACATTTGCATACATGCCTCTGTCTTTTGTATTCCCGCAAGTATTCTGGACTCACCGTTAGTCTAAATGGCCTCCTCATTTTTTCTTCTGCTAAAGCCGGTTTAAAGTTCTCGCTTTATCCACGGCGGTCACTTGCTTGTTTTCTTTCAGCCGAGTAAACAATTTACATCACCGATCCCTCAAACCAACGAACGGAACGTGCTGCAATATTCATTAACTGTTACGTGTGATGTGGCTGTACACGATACTGCAGTGACTTGCGTGTGCATGCTGGATAAGTCTCCCCTCCAAATATTTTTTCCAACTGTTAGCTGAGTCAGGTCGGTAGAACGTAGCGTATTCGGAAGTATTATAATTTTATCACTAGCACCAACTGGCGGGAGGTCTTGTAGATCCAGCGCACCCTCCTCATATCGAGTGAGCATCGGATCAGGGAGATTTAAATGATGGCCTCGCTTAACACGTGTTCTGAAGGTTGCACTCTGGAAAAGTAGTTTATCCGCTGCCATTTCGAGCAAATGAGCATCTAGTGAGAACGGCGGACCCAAGCTTGTCAACCGATATTGGGAGCATTAAAGTCCCCAAAAATAAGACCTCCATGTTCAAGCAGGTCTTGTTTACTTTCGCTAGGAAAAGGCAATTACGTTTAGCACTCTGGTTTCAGGGACGGTACGCGTCTGCAAACGTTAGTATCCGGACTTACTTTCCATGTATTATCAAAAATAAAAATTTCGCTTCTGCTGTTGGGCGATCTTTAGATGCCGAAGGTAATAATAATAATTTTTGTTAAATACCCGTCTGGGTCCATCAAAGCTAGTAAAGATAAGTTTATATACGAATTTTAGACGAGGTAGCCAGAATCTACACAAAATGCAATTCATGGATACTGAATTTATAGTCCGTTAAGAAAAATGATCAGCGAGCTGTGAAAAAGCTCCTCTTAAAAAGTTAAAAATGATTGGATTAATTTTACAGGAGAAAAAACACTCGTTAAAAAATAATAAAAGAAAAAATGCGGGCAGGACTGGCATGCATGCGGCGGTATATAGCGGATCAAAATCGGACATCGTCAGGGCAGAAAAAATGTCAGCATTGAGGGGTACGTATGCGGGTCAGACAGGACTGTCCTGCATGTGGTATTGTATACGGGCTTCAGAACGGACATCGTCAGGGCAAGATTGATAAGCCAGATGAGATTATTCGCGTCCAAGAGGCCAGACGAGAGGAACCCAGACGGGATCGGCCACAGTACGCTTCGAGGCCAGCAGAGGAGTGGGGAAGGGTGGTACGACCAAACTACTAGTAGACGGCGAATACTGAGGGTTCCGCCGTGAACGTCGACAGACCGCTTGAGATCGGAATGCGGGAGATGACATAAAAAACCGCGAAAAATGTCACTATGGGGGAGGAGTGATAGCAGTGGATTTAGAAACCAATTCAAAACAGGGTTTCTAATGATATAATTGAGGGTTTCCACTTGATCTTCTGCTTAATCTCAGGAGAACCCTACTCGAAGTTCACAAACTGAGTGGTCGGGAGTGAGACCATTATAAGTGCCTTTCTACTTTCCGCTGTAAGGTGTTTGCGTGATTTCTACTTGGATACCAGTAACTTAGGTGATGAGTCAATTTCTGGCGAAAGATTATTCCAAAGGAAGGCATAGTCGGAAGCAAAAACAGGAAGCGATCAGATGTAGTGCAAAGAGGCGGCAGAATCATCATGGAGGAGTTGCGCGTGGCATGAGACCGATCTCTCGGAGTGAGAGTGTCAATGAGCGGAAGATTGGAGTTGGAGTTGAAGCGAAAAAAGGAAGCAAAGGCCAGCTTCGAGCCTTCTAACCCACAAAAACTTAATGTTCACCAGGTGACATCTCGGAGTATAAGAAATACCAGACGAAGCTGGAAAGAACAGTTTCCGGGTGAAAACCCTCTGAACATTTTCGATTTTATTACGGTCGCAGGCGTTCATTAAACCAACGAGAGGACATCAGTATTCTGGGACTGGAAGAACAAACATTTGATAAATTCTTAGCCTCATTTCCGGAATGGAAAATATTATACGATATGAATCCACATAGCTGCGCGGCTTTGGCAGAGATTCTATCTGCATGACGCCATAAAGCAAGTTGATTTTTATAACTTAAACCTAGATCCTTTATGGTAAAGCATTCTGAGAGTGGGTTATTCTGAAAAATTATGGCACTAGAAAGTTTGGCAGGACCAAAAGACATGAAACTGCACCTCGATGATGAAAACTCCATCTACCATGTTGTACTCCATCTGCTTAAGCGTAGTATATCGGCATTAATGTTCTCAACACAAACATTTGCGGTGTCCTTAGAATATGAGTAAGCACACTTGTGGTCATCCTCATACACAAATATTTGCGAATTTTCGATTTCAGTCGAAATACCATTGATTTAAAGAAGGAAGAGTAACAGACCCAGAGGCCTGCCTTGAAGTACGCCACACGTGATCGAGTGAGGTGTCGAGTAGCTATTACCGACCATAACTTTCTGACATCGGATGGATTGGTAGGGCCCGATGCAGTCAAGTGGAGGAGGCCGGATACCTTCAGCTTTCAATTTTACTAAAAGACTCTATTGGGCACCTTGTCGAAGACTTTGTTAAGATCAAAGTAGATAACTACCACTGACTGCCGCTCATTACGAAGAGAAGTGATTAGATTAAGAAATGCCAAGTGGCATGTTTAGCAGGATCGTTCAGGTAAAACTCCATGCTGACTAGAGCTCAGAAGCCGATTAGCTAGACAGAAGTCGAGAATTTCATTGAGAATAATCCTTTCAAGAAGTTTTGCTAGAGACGGCGTTTTGTGCACGCCCCGATAGCTATTACCATCAGACCGAAATCATAAAGCAATAATATCGGTGCTCCCTGTAAACTAAAACTGGCATCAGATTCTAATATCATTTGCATAAATTCAACAACTTGACGAGGATTCCATGATCAGCTATTCTGGGTCATTGGACTGAAGCCCATGCTTTCTAACATCACTCCCTATGGAGGCGGTTAGCCTCTTGTACTCTGCTTTATTTATAATTCGAAATAACTTAATAGACGAAAGATCCCCGTATAAGAAACCATTTATCCGAAACTTCCTTTCGAAGAGACTAAAAAACAGCTACACGACCAGTCTGAAATTTATTTATCCCTACTCCGGCGAATTAGAGAAAATCACGACGTTGTTACTAAAATGGAAACACAAAGAATCGTAGCAGCAGATCAGCGGATACTAGAATCCTCCGGATGAATAGCTCAATTTTTTTAGGAATAGAAGATTAATCACCACAAGCCAGAACCCCAAACTATGATCGATGAATCAGGGCAAATAATAACAAACAACAACCAGACTGAAAACTTGTTTAACAACTATTTCTTAGTCAACTATACGATCGAGGAAGAAACAATCACTCTACCAACCGAGATGCAGAACACACTCTTATTGAGGTCTGTTTTTGTGATGAAACTGTTGACAGTTCGACCATCGTTTTCGATGATGTCCACCGTGTGCCTCACAGTTACAGCAGCAATGGGAGCAGGGACGGTGACTTACGCAGGGATTTATAGTGCCGGTAGACTTGCGTAGCATCTACCTACACTCTCCCCTCCTCCCTCGCCCGAGCCCGGTGTCAAGACAGAGTCAAGAAGACCGGAGACGAGAGAGGCCGCAGGTGGATGGCTCGGACGGATCCTCACCTCGGCGTTCCACCACACCCCCTGGTCCACACAACAAATAACCAGGATTTCAACCAACACAACAGAGATTTGGAGGCTGGCACGGCCGAAGCCGCACCTGGGCGTGCCTCCAACGCCTGGCTCGGATCCCACACTGTGATGGGATTGCCATAAAGGCCACATTAAAAAGGAGCCATTGCAGCCTGACTCTCAGACCGCCTCCGGTCAAGGAGGAGGTCCAAGTTACCCCGTCAGTTGGCAACCTTCCAAGCCACGGCTTTTAGCGCACCGTGATAGCTTCAAGCGCGTCAGATTGTTTATAGTGAGGAGAAAGTGCGCTGAGTCGTCGACCTCAATCTCCCTTCCCACTCCCACACCCCAGCAGCTGTCCGAGCTGGTCAGCAGACTGGAGTGGGGAATGGGCGCGGTGGCTGTCATGGTCGAATGACCATGACTGCGCGCGCCACGGCACGACCTGGCTCCCCATGCACACAACACCAGGATTTCACACAACGGGGGTTGAACGGCGTTTCTCTCGCTTGCGTGAGAGTGCCGTGGAAGGTGCTGTTTCAGCCCGTTCCCAGTCCACCAGTCCGCCACTCCACACAACACACACACACACACAACGCGACGAACTGCGTGAACCGAGAGCGGGCGTCAATCAGCAACCTTCCTATCCACGACGCTTGACGTGTCGGGATAGTCTCGGACTCAAGTCACCCGTGCAGCCGAAGCCGCATGGGGACCGAGTTCAGATGCGGACTTCCCACTTGCGTGGGAGGTGTCAGTTGGGTGCATGAGGTGTGTGAGTGTTGATTTCCGGTGGGGTGATGGTAGTGGTGGAGGAGGTAGGGAGTGAGTGAATGTGTGGTGTGGCCGGCGGTTGTCTACCGCAGGTCGTCGTGGATGCGCATGTGGCCGCATAGGCCCATGCGATGCCTGAAAGTGCGAGGGCAGTGTGGGCAGTTGAGACGAGCTTGGTGGGTATAAGTTGGGTGCTCCAGGCACTGGGTCGCCAGTCTCTGTGCGATGGATTCGCAAGTGGCCGACCAGGCCGATGCGTGAGGTGAATGTGCGTGGACAGTGTGGGCATGAGAAGTCGGCGGAGTCAGTGTCAGCTGTAGAGGAGGCGGTGGTGGTGGTGGCGCGGACGGATGGAACGAGGGTGGGGGTGTGCACGGTGGATGTGCTGGATGTGGTGGGTGTGTCGGGAGTGCGGTCAAGGCCGCTCTCGTGGATGCGCATGTGGCCGAAAAGGCCCATGCGATGCCTGAAGGTGCGAGGGCAGTGTGGGGAGTGGAGGCGAGTGTGGTGGGTGTATGTTTGTGCTTCACGCACTGGTTCGCCAGTCTCTGTGCGATGGATTCGCAAGTGACCGACTAGGCCGATGTGTGAGGTGAAGGTACGGTCGCAGTGAGGGCAGGTTCTCCACGGAGGCGTTCTCGGCGGCGGCGGCTTCGGCAGCGATAGGAAGGTTGTCTAGCCGTTGAGCTAGCTCATTGCTGAAATGAAGATGGTGAGCGGGCAAAGACAACAAGGCAACATTCAGCTTACCTGGGGATCGCTTACCTTGTGGTCTCCTGCGAGGCCGTAGGCGAAACGCATTTCGAGATGACGAGGCGATGGTCGGTCCACCCGTCAGCACCCGCGATCGCCTTCGTCACCAGCACGTCCCGCTGATCTCGCCTCCGGACGAGGACATGGTCCAGCAGGTGCCACTGGCGCGACCGAAGATGCCTCCAAGTGGCCTTCTCTCGCTCCGGCAGACAGAAGAAGGTGTTCGTCAGGATGAGGCGGTGTTCTGCGCAGGTGCGGAGAAGCAGCAGACCATTGTCTTTTGAGCCGCGGAGACCGTGGGGACCCAGCACACCTCTCCAGGCAGTATGGTCTGTGCCGACGCGGGCGTTGAATTCACCAAGGATAATCAACTTGTCCGCCTTCGACACAGTCGCCAAGAGGGCGTGCAGGTCCTCGTAGAATTTGTCTCTGACGGCGTCGGGGTTGGTCATCGTCGGAGCGTAGGCGCTGATGATGGTGGCGAATTTGCCTCCCCAGAGAGGCAGGCAGAGGCTCATCAGGTGATCGTTGATGCCCTGCGGCAAACAGGGCAGTCGTCCTACGATGTCGTTCCGAATGGCGAAGGCGACACCCGCGTTCCGTCGCTCTGCCCTGGGTTGACCGCTCCAGAAGAAGGTGTAGCCGGCATCCACCTCCTCCAGTTGGCCTTTTTCGGAGAATCGGGTGTCGCTGAGTGCGGCGATGTCCACCTTGTAGCGCGCCAGTTCTCGTGCCACTAGCGCCGTCCTCCGTTCCGGTCGGTTGCTCCTCGGATTGTCTAAAAGGGAACGAGCATTCCAGGCCGCCAGAGTGAGCGGGCTCACCCTGCCAGTCTGGTGACAGCGAGTGGGGCGACGGGAAGGAGATGGAGAAGAAGGTGACGAAGGAGAAGAATAGGCAGAAGAATAGGCAGAGGAAGAGGAATAAGAGGTAGGATGAGGAGAATGAGTATGGTTGTTGTTGTTGTTGTTATTGGTATTGTTGTTGTTTCGATTTTGATTGTTTCGACCATGATTAGACGTCTGCGGCCCTGGCTAGCCTGGAGACGGCGTGGTACCCAGCAATGTTTAGGCCACCTTTTCTAGGCCCTTTCCCTCGTGGGGGCTGGCAGTGCCACCCTTGAATAGGGCTGCCATGTGCCGTTGTGGCACGGCCGAACTCCAATATGGGACCACGACTTCGGGTTGTAGTGGAGAGCGACTCGAATTCGCCGTAAGCCGCGGTCTCCGACGGCGTAGGTGGGCGCGTCAAGGCAATGTCGATGTGGAGATCCATCCCGTCACCGGCTGTCCAACGGCGTGCAGAGACGAACCACGTCACGACGGTGCCGACGCAAGGTTCCATCCGACCTTCCATCCAGCGGAATCCACAAACCCTGTGCACACGGCACAGCGCACAGGGCCTCCTCACCTGGTTTAGCCCGCCGGTCGAGACGGTTGCCCGGGGTGTGGCCGCTGAGCAGAGTCCAGCTACGTGGAGCCACAGGTGAGAGTTGAGTGTCAGCAAGTGGACGCTAGGCGCAGTCTCACCTGCAAGCAAGTGAGCGACCACCACGACCATTACGTGAACCCACCGCTGACACCCCTACACCCCGATGAAACTGTTAAATACCTACTAAACAACTCTCCAACACCACCTCCTATGAGACGGACAAAATCCCGTCTTGCCTTATGACGCATATGATGTATGCTCCAATACTCTAATCTAAGCTATTCGTCTTACTCCATTCAAGTGCAGTCCCTCCAGGCGTTTCGAAACACTTAAGCATTGCACCTATCTTTAAGAGCAGGAACCGGTCTCACACTTGAAGCTATCGTAGTGTTCACCAAACGACGACATCGGCTAAAATCCTACGAAAAGTAGCTTATAACCAAATGCTACAGCATCTGGTAAACGCTAACCTCATGCCCTATCTTAACATGTTTTTTTACCCAAAAATCCAAGTCAGTCCTGCCATCCCACTTTTCTATCATGTGTTTCCAGCAATGTATAATTCAATATATTGCCACAATATACTTCGGCCTAAGAAGGCCTTTGACAAAGTTCCCCACAAAAGACTACTGATAAAGCCAATAAGTCGTAGAAATAGACCCTGCCTCTCCTCTAATTTCTCAAATCCTACTTCAGTACCGATATAACGTGGCGCAGATCCGAAACATAGTCCTAAAACCATCCTATATTAACAGTGGAGTACATCAGGGCACTATCCAAGGCCCCGTTCTAGCTCCAATATATATTCACGACTTATGGTTCATATCAGCCTCAGCTAAGACGCTCTTATATGCAGATGATCTAAAACCCGCATATGCATAGAACGCACATACAGTAACCAATATGCGTAGGAAAATCGAAACCGGACTTAGAGAACTTAGCGAATGGAGTAGTCAATGGGAAACGCCATTCTCACAGGCAAAATGCCTTCTGCTGATTTTTAATAATAATTATTATTATCTTTATTAAAGACCCGCCGGGGTTTCATCAAAACAAGTAAAAATAAATTTACATGCGAATTTTAGACGAGGTAGGCACAATCTGTACAAAGTGCAATACATAGTTTTTGAATTAGAAGTCCGTTAAGAAAAATGATAAGCGAGGAGTAAAAAAAAACTCCATTTGAAAATTTAAAAATGATTGGATTAATTTTACAGGACAAAAAACCCCTCGAAAAAATAGAATCAGATAAATGCGGACAGGACTGGCCTGCGTGTGGCGGTATAGAATGAATTATAATCGGACATCGTCAGGGCCGAAATAAATGTCAGCTGTAAATGGCATTGTATGACGGATTTCATAAAGGGGTAAGTAGGCGAGTCGGTCAGGACTGGTCTGTATGTGGCCTTCAATAAGGCAAATAAGTGGCGAAATTGAAAACCAGTCTCGAGGCGATAGGAACTCAGATGCGGTCGGTTACATTCATCCGAGTCCATCCGAGGATGGGGCAAGGGAGAAGCGACCAAACTACTAATATATGGCGAATACAGAAGGTTTCGCCAAGAGCGTCGATGGAGCGCATTCTGTGAGGGTACGATGCATGAACTGAAAAATTGGAAAAATTAACATTTCTGGTGAGGGATCTTAGGAAGCGAGACTACTCACAAAGGAAGGAAATGTGGACAGATACGGAAATTTAATGGCGGCATACTAAATTCCCGGTGGCCCTTTCTCAGTGTCATAGAAAAAGTTGTCTGGGAAGGATGAGGAAAATAAAAGTTTAATCGAGTCAGTATTCTGATAAAGGCGTATCCTTCTCTTAAATGTGTGTAGATTTTCTGAAGATCTTACATTTATTGGAAGATTATTTCAGAGGAAAGTATATCTGGAAGCGAAAAAGGGGAGCGCATTTAGCACGCAAAAACTTCCCCCCATCATTTTCGAGGAGACTCAAATAAAAGAAGCCGAATCAGCAAAAGCCTTAGGTATGAGCTATATAAACTCCCTCGACTTGTCCATCCAAGTTAAACAAATATCACCAAAAGCCGCACGCCGTTGCGGATTCATGTGTTAGAGTTTCATCTTAAATACAATAAAAGTAAAATTTTTAAAGTGTATGTTCTATCTCCTTCATATTACTGCTCACTTTTTTGGTATAGTGCTCTCGGATGGCCAAAGAAAGTTAGAAGGCATTCAGAGGCGCTTTACTAGGTCTCTGTCCAAATGTGACGGCACCCAAAGTTCATATCTAGGACTATATCATAAATATGGTCTTCGACCCCTCTAGATTAGAAGACCAAAAAATAAATTTACTAACATACCAAAGCGCCCCCCGAAATGCCAGAAGAATCGAGGATATTATAGGGATTCCCAAATGCAATAAAACCCAACGATCAAACTTCCGTTCAATAAGATATGCGACTTTTTGTGATGCAATCCCAGGTCCTATTCGGGAAAGTCAAATCCTAATCGAATTTAAAAAAGAAACTCGGGAATTCCTTTTAAATTGCCGTTTACATTTATTTTTGAATAGGATAGGACATTATTCAAGTCAATTCTGCGATATAGAATTTGGTCCAAGTGGGCTCTAATCAGACCATGAACCTGAATAACACCGGAGCATAACCCTAAAAACAGTTAAGTTTAAGATGGGCAACATTCTTATCAAGCATAGCACAAATAGAGGTCTCCTTTCTTTTGTCCTCTTCTCGTTTCCATCAGGTAATTCACCTAACAATAAATTTCCTTTAAGTAGCTAATATTAGCATACATTTTGATGAAGCCCTACGTATTTGTTGTGAGTAGGGTTGTATTTAGGCAATATTTAACAGACGCGAAAACATAATAGACCATATTATAGAGTCGACAAATATTCCTACAATGACATATTATCAGAAAAACTATAATAACCGAATTGATATTATTTTAACATCTTTGATTGTGACTTACCACAGACTGCTGTGTGCACTTGGCGACAGATGAAACCACAAGATGCTTCTATAGCACGCTTCTATGGTCTGCCAAAGATCCACAAACCAAACGTTCCCTTACGGCCAATTGTGGCGCTGAAAGGCACACCTACCTACGGTCTGGCTAAATGGCTTACCAAACATCTGAAGAAGTTGACAAAGGGCTCAGAACACACCGCCTTATCCCCCACACACTTCCTGGAAAGACTCCGAGGCGTCAAAATAGCCCCCGACAAAATAATGGTGTCATTCGACGTCGTTTCTCTTTTCACCTCAATCCCTAAAGAATTAGCCACGACGGTCATAAGTGACCTACTGCAGAGGAGGTACGATGAAGAGGAAAGACCTCTGAAAAGGAAGCACATAATGGAGCTACTGGGATACTGTTTGAGCACGTACTTTACGTTTAATGGTCAGATTCACGAGCAAATCCAGGGAACTCCAATGGGATCACCAATCTCCGGCTACCTAGCTGAGGCGGTTCTACAAGAACTGGAAACGCGGGTCTTTCAGTCCTGCATGCCAAAATTCTGGATGCGCTACGTGGATGACACCTTTGTCATCCTACCTCGAGACATGAAAGTCACGTTCGGAAACAAATTGAACTCAATCTTCCCCCAAATTCAATTCACAATGGAGGAAGAAAAGGACGGAGAAATCCCCTTTCTGGATGTCCAGGTGTTGAGACAGGAAGACGGAGCCCTCCAGACTGGTGTCTTTCGAAAGGTAACTGAAACGGCGAAAATCCTCCATTACAGCAGTAACCACCCCTTGTCACATAAACGCAGCTGCGTGCGGACGCTCTTCTTGAAATTAGATTATCGCCTAAGTTACCGGTATTCAAGTCGACATTACGCAAACATCTTACACCGGAAAGCATAAAGGCACTGTTAACAGTCTCATTCCCGAACACTCAGATTCTTGACTTCGAGAAGGGTCCTCCTGGGATTTAGTGGTAGATCTAGTGGTAACTCTTAATTATATCATTAGAAACCCCTGTTTTGCATTGGTTTCTAAATCCACTGCTATCACTCCTCACCCATAGCGACAATTGTCGCGGTTTTTGATGTCACCTCCCGCATTCCGACCTCATGCGGTCTGTCGGCGCTCACGGCGGAACCCTCAGCATTCACTGTCTACTAGTAGTTTGGTCGTACCTCCCTTCCCCACTGCTCGGCTGAGCTGGAAGCTTGCTGTGGCCGATCGCGTCTGGGTTCCTCTCGTGTGGCCTCTTTGACGCGGCGTATCAATCCGACCCAGACGATCTCAATTGTGAATCCCGTATACAATGCCATATGCAAGCCAGTCCTATCTGACCCACATTCGTACCCCTCAAGGCTGAGATTTATTGCTACCCTGTCGATGACCGACAACATTCCGTTATATACCACCACCTACAGGCCAGTCCTGCTCGCTTTTTTCTGTCATTATTTTTATTGAGGGGTTTTTTTCTCCTGTAAAATTAATCCAATAATTTTTAGCTTTTTGTAAGGATTTTTTTCACCCCTCAATCATCATGTTTCTCAATTGACTTCTAATTCAGAAACTATGAATTTCATTTTGTAAAGATTCGGCCTACCTCGTCTGAAACTCGCATGTAGATTTATTTTAACTTGCTTTGATGGGACCCCGACGGGTCTTTAATAAAAATTATCTATCTATCAACACACACTGCAGCACAGAGGCTGAAAAGCTGTGAGAGCGTAAATCCCTATGGCGTCTCTTTCTCTCCAATGGGTACCCACTTAGCTTCATAAACAAATGTCTGTATCAAAGGCACACGAAGACGGCCGGTGAACAAAAACAAAAACCTGAAATCTTCCGTGCTTTGCCCTACGTGAGTGACGTTTCCGAAGCCACTGAACGCATGCTCAGACCACTCAACGTGGGCCTTGGACACCGGCCGGAGGTCACTATTCGCCGCTTGCTCATGCAGCCTAAGGGGCGGCTACCACCTGCGGACACGTCAGGAATTGTTTACCGCGTCAACTGTCTAGCCTGTCCGGCCAACTATTGTGGCATGACAGACAAACGATTAAGGTCGCGCATGCATGAGCATTCTCCAGCTGTAAAGCGAAAAGATGTGTGATCATATGTTGCTATGCAAAGCCTGGAAAACAACCATCAATTCGGCTTCGACAGGGCAGAAGTAATCAGCCG